TCGGAAGCTTGTGTGGGATGCCTCGAAGCACAGGGCGACACCGAATGCCATTTTCATCTTTCACTTCCTGGTGGAGAACAGCCTTTCAGGAGGTCCATGTCCACGATTGTGTTGATAATGCTGTATCCACAAACGTGTTGGCAATGCATCGTAACAGATAAGCTGTGCGACCACGTGCAATGTGCGGTGTGACCAGCCACACTTGATGTGACGGTGTTCTGTTGCATGGAGGCTTAGTTCCGACGATTCACAAAGACGTCTTCCAGCTCGATCCGGACCTTTGTCAATGAATCTGGTTCAGAAAGTGGGAGGCGGGAATGAAGAGCTCCCACGTTGAGTTTCTGCCGCCAGGAAGCCACCGAGAATCATGTGTACCTCGCTCTGGTTTCAGTGCTTGCACTCCTTTTGCTCTTCATGGAGATCAGAAGGCCGCATGTGATGGGCTTGAAACTGCATGAAGATTCGTCACTTCGGAACAAGAGGATCCTTCACTGCCCCGCATCCTGCACCTTTGAAGAGGCCCAGCGACTAGAGACCAAATGTTGAAAGTTGAGTGGAGCTGGCACTTGCAGTTGAGAGTTTGTGCTGAGGACAGGACGAAATGCTCGGTGTGGACACTACTTTTCTTGTTAGGCCCACAGCAACGCCGATGCTTTCTGTTCGAAGTAGTGCCGTGCAAATCGGCCTTGGTGCCTGCACCGTCTTTTTCCAACCTGCACACACGGGACAACGAGGTTGCTGCCAGCCCTGATCTTTGCCATCACTTGCCTCATGGTCGTGCAGGATTTGTTCACAGGAAATCTCCTGCAGGCTAACAATCAAGAGACTCGCAAGAAGCGGTTCAACAGAGGGGATGTGGTCGTGTAGGCGGGGCAGACGTCCGACGAAGATCTTTACGCCGCTTGCCTCCATTCTGTTATTTGTGTGGTGTGTGTGTGTGTGTGTCTGTCTGTGTGTGTGTGTGTGTGCGTAGGCGTGGGCGCGACGAGCGCAAATTTTATTGAGGTCGCAAATAGTATTTGTTCGCGTCAGCCGCGATTGTCGCCGCCACAGAAGGTCTTGCACTTCCTGCCTGCACAGGGTCGGGGCGTTTGAGGCGGAGCGGTCGCCTCTTCGGCCCCTGTCACGAAAGCTACCTCTGTGGAGCTTGTGGCAGTCGTAGTTTACCATTCACTTAGGTCATAGAGATCTAGGTCAAAAAAACACGCAGGACCCTATCTCGTCCGTTTTCAATAGTTAAGGGGGGTGAGGGGCGGAGGCGGGTCCACCCCTCGCGCCACCACGGAAAGGACTGCTTTAGAGCAACTAAGGACCCCCCCTACCACAAGGTCCCGGCAACATTGAACAAGGTGGGGGGGGGGGGGCTCCCCCCCTTACCTTTGTTCCCCCCACCATAAGGCCTGCTGCGCAACATAAGCAAGATAGCTAAGTTGCGCTTTGTGTTGCATGGCCGAGTCTACATGGCCGAGTCGGCCTATGTCACGTCTGACTCGGAAGCGATTAGCTAAGTTGCCATCAGGACGGATGACTTTCGCATGATGGTGCAGTTGCCACTTCAGGGCCAAGAGCCGCAGTCGACAAGCGCGTGGAAGCATTCAAGCCAGCGCACCTAACATGCCACTTTCGAGACCAAGCCCATCAGGAAAGCTTAACGTCTGCTGAAGCAACATGGCAACTTGCGCTTTGTGTTACATGGCCGAGTCGGCTGCCATCAGGACAGATTACATTCGCATGTGGCGCACTTGCCACTTCGGGGCCAAAAGCCGCAGCCGACAAGCGCGTGGAAGCATTGAAGCCTGCGCACCTAATTTGCTATTTTCGAGACCAAGCCCATCAGGAAAGCTTCAACAGTCTAACTTAATGGAACAAATATCTGCAACATTGGAAACGAATCTGCATGGATTGCATGAGTTCTTGTGCCGCGCCGTCCAGCTTCGCGCGGGCTGCGCGGCCTCAATAAAAAACTGCGGTCAGCTGTGTGGCAGTCCTCTGCTCTAGCTTTCGTAGCCTGCTTCTGAAGTCTGTGCTTGTCGTCCCGCTTCGGAAAATCATGTTCGAGCCACTGTAGTTTCAGCATATCTCAGCACTGTGTCCGGTGCGTTTGCATCGCGAATCATTCGACATCCTGGGTGCGTTTGCACATGACTTAGTGATACTTTGTGGTTCGAGGGTGCTTGCCATTTACTGTGTCTTTTTGTCTTTGGTTGGCTTCCCTTGCGAGCCGCGCCAGTTTAATTGACTGGTCGAGCATGTGGTCACTGTATTGTTGTGTTGTAGTATATACGTGCAGCCGATCTTCTTATCCCGGAATCCATTCAGTTTATTTACACCATGGGCTACAGCCATGGTCCAAAAGCCCAGCCTGTGCGCGTGTCAGTGTTGATTTCTCATGCCTTCGGTCCGCTTGATTGCACTCTGTATGAAACTGGTGCCTGGCGCATGACGGATCCGTCCTACACGTTCACGTGCGGAGATCGCGGACTTTGCTGCCAGGATTGTGGCTCATGAAAGCTACCTGAATTGGGAGAAGGACTGGAACATTGAAGCAGGCTACCTGTAGTAGCGTCAGTGCTACCACTGCTTGACCTATTTGTAGGCGGAAGAGGAAGCAGCCATGATAATATGAAACAAGCGAAAGTCTTTCTGTGTCGTTGCGCGACGTGTTGTGAAATTACAAGCTTTTGGGAGACACAGGTTGCGACCAGCGACCTTGTTTTCTCTCCACTCGCTAAGTAGAGACCCTCGCTGGGACTATGGCTTGGGGTGGCCAGGCCTGGCCTAGCACACTGTGAAGGCTGCATGTTTGTACTGCATGGGTGTACGTGGGGAGCACATATCGGGTCATCGTAGGCCACTGAGGCCAGACTAGCCCAGAGGTGAAAGTCGAACGAGAAGTTGTTTTTTGGATTAGGAAACTCGACCAAGGATTATTTGTGGCTGCGGATCAAGATGGATCGTAGTCGTCTGGTGTGGCTCTTGGGATGCTGACGCTGACTGGCCTTTATTTGCAATCTGAACCAGGCCATCATTGTGATAACGCTTTTCCTCTTCAACGTCCTGAACCTCGGCTGCATCTTGGGGTCGGAAATGTAGTCGGCAAGGAATCGCGGTGTCCCATCACTGACATCCTGAGTCCCAACCCTCCCTTTAGGTAATGTTGAACCGAGGATGTTGAAATACCTGCTGCTGCACTTTCCACAACTCCTTTCGGCAACGCAGATCGTGTCGAGACCTCAGCTCCAAGGGCACAGGCCCAGATCTCGGGAGCACTGGAGCCGAAGATTCAGAGACTCAGTTTTGGGAAGGGTGCGAGACTAGAGACGACCGGGGACTGGGAGAGAGGGAGGGAGCGCCTCGGGCTTTTCTCCCAAGGGTAATTGCAGAACCCGTGGCCTTGAAGGCCTTACAGTAAGGGGCAGTATTGTCACGGAAGTTGCTTGTCCTCGAAACGAAGTGCACGTGTTGGAGCTGAAAGTGGTTTCAGAAAGATGAGACACCCCTATGCACGTAAGAAAATGTATGTATGTATGTATGTATGTATGTATGTATGTTTGTATACATTTATAATCACATATATATATATATATATGTATCTGTACGTATATGTAACTATGTGTAATATATGTGCAATCAACGCTGAAAGTGAAAACTTGGACAGGAGGAAGATTGCAGCGCCGCTCTTGACTGTCCTCCTCATGGTGTGCTTGACGATTTTCTCGTTCGGAGTCAGCTTCCAAGTTGTGAAACGCGCGCAGATTTACGTGGGCTCCCCGAGCATGCTTGCGATTCAGGTTTTCTTGTACACAGTTTATGGAACAACCTTCAGCACTTTCCAAGATGTGGCTGATGCCTGAGTAAATCGATACTGTCAGAGGTTCGGTCCTTCCCGAACCTCTGTTTGCCGAGGCCTCTACATGGCTTAACGTTGTGCTTTGGTCGATGGGCTACATCAAAGACTGGAAAGCATACTACGAGTTCCAGGCGTGACGGGGCGTCCGAGACTCCTAAAGCTGCTGATGGATCTACACAGAGAGAGGAGGTGACAGAAATACTTCTCACATATGTTGCAGAAGAGATCTAGTGTCGATTAGCTTTCCGTATGATCCGAAACCTGCTGGCAGCCTGCGTTGTGGACTTTCAGCATCTTTGTCGCACTCTGCATCATCCAGCTGACGCTCAACATTCTGCCAGCTGCAGCCCCAGAGACGGAGACTTCAGCCGAAGCCTCGCCTGCCAAGCTGCAGCTGCTCAGGCCGTCATTATGCTTTCTCACAAGAAGGAAGCCGACCTCGTGGAAAACTACAGCTCCTAAGACGAAAGCCTGACAGTTGTAGGGCAGGGAATCAAGCAACGCTTGCACTAGAGGTTACCACACATTCTGGGCCAGCGAGCGCAGCAAGAACGTTGGCCAGAAAAGCCTAAATCCAGCTCTGGTAGGTGCTGGCCTTAGCTCTCACTCCATGATTGTGAGCGGAATCAGCCGTGCCTGCATGGTAAGTTTGCTTCACCGCAGGCTGGGACTTCACGAACCCGAAAGAGCCCAAAGAGGTCCTGGCCTGAAAGTACGTCCCTGTGTGTCCATGCTTGCACACCCTGATCGGAGACAAGGTTTTTGACAAGTGATGCTCATGTTCCGAGTCTGCCCCGGTTCGCCATCTGTGCAAAAAAGCCCTCCGATTCACGACTTCGGGTTCGCAATCCTTATAAGCAGTCTCTGATGATGTGCCGGAGCAGATTTCCGCCAGAATTATTTAAAGCGTGGCTAAAAGTTGCTACACAGGACGTTGCATCGGCTGGGCCGATTGCGTAAAGGTGTCACCCATGCGCAAGGCCCTCAATCAGGTTTGAAACCCTTGAGATGCCTTCCAATGGAACTCGGTAGCTTCCGTTTTCAAGCTGCCCTGAACACGCAGTGTCAAAGAAAAGGCTTGAAGCGTCGGCTGGGGCCGCAATTTCGAGCATTGCTGGATCTTGGAGTGCGATGAAGCCTCGTTGCGCAGTGTCCTCATCATTCCGTGGCAAATCTCCTTTGATATCCATCCTGGACCGCTGGCCTCTAGCTCAGTCGCCTCTACATGGGTCTTGGCGTTCTTCCAATCTGGAATCTAGGCCACAGCAGTTGACATCTTTGTTGACATCATCTTCAGCTTCGATCTGGAACCTCGTCCCAGATTTATGGGTTCCGTGAAGCAGTGACGGCGGACTTGCAGAGCTGGGGAAGCTCAGGCTTTGTGCTTTCGCACTGCTTTTGTGGATGCTGATGGAACCATCGACACCGTGGGGGTCTCGCAGCACTTCTTGAGAGCATCAAGGCCTTGTTCGGCTTAAATCTTGTGAGTCATGCTCTCCAGACAATAACCATGCCAATCATCGGCATTTTGTCGGCAATGAGGCTACATGGGATGAGGCTTTTGGTTTGTGTGTTTGCAGACTGCTATCGGTGACGATGCTGAATGCCGGTGACTGCCGTTGTTACTGCCTTTGCAGCGCTTGCTTGATCTGACACGGGACATCATCATAATCACTAGGCAGGCATTACCGCTACTTCAGATCACCATCCGCAGATCAAGCTCCGAAGAACCCTGTGAGTAGGGATTCGGGTGCCAGAAAGTGGGACCCTGAGGACCACCACCCCAACCCCAAAACCCTGATTCCAAGCCGAGGCCCTTGCCAGAACTCGGTACACTTCCCGAGTTGTTTCTCGATCTGTGCACCATTGCTTGAGCCACGTCGATCGTGGCATTGGTTGGATAGTGCGAATGAGTCCGTTCAGACTCCGCGCAGCAATGCTTACATATGCATGCGTGACACGTCAGTACCAAACACACTCCTCCTCACGTTTCACTGTGCAAAGAAAAAGTGCTCAAAAGGAGGTAGTGACGATCACATGACAAACGCAGCATTAACCAGTGGGCGTTCCAGGCCCTAAGTCACCTACATTCACTCCGTTCCGGTGCATGGTTAACTGCTGCCCTCTAAAGTCTATTACAAAAACGCCAGGAGCAAGGAAGCAAACTCTGTCGGTGAGCATTGAAACTCGTAACGGACGCAATGACACACCCATCGTTCAAAGACTACTGCCATCAAAGCTTCGTGCAGGCTTCGTGTAGACCAGAGTCTCGCATCTCACCCGCAACGCAAGCTAGCGACGAACAAGTTTTACGGCCTTGTTTGTCAATGGATCCGCTCGAATCTCTGTACCGCTCATGTACTTGGTCGCGATGCCCGCAGAGACCGCCCGATCGAAAGCTCAACTGCAGCGCAAGCCAAATTTCCTAGTTTTCGTAGGTCGGTGATGTTGAAAGGATTCGTCAGACACGCGCCATTGAACCATACAAGGGCGCAGCCGGTCTGCGCGTCGTGAGCCTCCGTGTTTCACGCACTTCGATGCCCATTTCCAGTGCCGTGGCGCCAGCATCCGCTTCTGCTTCGAACGCGTTCCACGCTGAATGGATTGCCTGCATGAAGTCCATGCTATGGCATACTGTCACCAGGTGACTAGAGCGCAAAGAGAAGCTTTCTGCATCTGAAGTTCAACGCATCTTTGCCGGATTTCTGTGAAGTTTCTATGGTGATGCATCGCTTGGTGTAGGCTCCAGCTTCTAACCAATGTGTTTGATGGACGCAAAAATGCTGTGTCTCGCTTCAGCTTTCATCCAAGGAATGTCAGCTCACGTCGCACCGGGCTTTCAAGACCATTGTACTGAGCACGTCATGCCCCGCAAAATCTCTGGAGCACAGCATGCCTGGAATCTTCAATGTCCAAGACACATCAAGACACCATGAACGCCTTTGCCAAAGCTTCGACCAGTGTCACATCCGTCGTCCACATGGTAAACAACCAGAGCTAGGGGATTTAGATCAGCATCCGATTCGTCTGTCACCTTCCACACACCCGGTTCTGGCGGATTAACTTCAATCGCTGACCATCGGGATCAACTTCCCTTCTCGCTTCAAACTCTGCATATTTGTTGTGTTCCCAAAATTTCGGACTACGACGCAGCCCGTAAAGAGCTCGCTTGAGCTTCCAAAGCACCGATCCGCTGACGATGTTGCGCTTGACAAGCGCTAGCGGTGGGAACACGTACACATTCTCGCCGTGGATCTTTGCTTTTAAGAACGCCGCACTGATGTCCAGCACGAGGCCCGCCCAATCCTAGTGTCGAGCCATCAAACTCGGCCCCATGGTTCAAAGAGTGGTTTTAGTTAGCAGAACCCTTGCCCATTTTGGGTAATAATACCACCAGTCAACCCATTAGACGATTATTCC